GGCCTCAGAGAAGGGGTGGAGCAGAGGCAAAGCCTCAGAGAAGAGGCAGGAAGGAAGCAGACCACAGTTATTTGGGTTTGAGGTAGATCTTCTATTGCACTTGAATTGAAAAAGTGATCTTGTGGTTGAAAAGGTTGGAGACCACTGGACTGTGTGATCACCTGCCAACAAGGCATTTACTCTGTCAAAATCCCCAGAGCCATGCATCATACAGAATGCTGGATGGACCTCAGACAGAACCTGCATATAGTACCTTCACAATGCAAGTGTCTCAAATATAATAAAACAGCCTTCAACGCAGCAAAACTCAGGCCCACCAACTATCAGGTGCAGGTTCAGCCAACTGATTAGAGAAATGGAATCAGTTTAAACATGTGTTTACTGGTGCATCTAAATCTGTGCTGGGGCCAAAGAAAAGGAAACACCAAGATAGGCTTGATGAGAACCATGAGGACAGCTCCAAACTCCTAAGCAACCAGCAGAAAGCATTGCTAAATGGCAGAATGAAGTCATTTCTGTCTCAAACAAGGATATGTTTTAGGACAAGGCCCAGACCGAACTAAAGAGAATGCAGGATGAGTGGTGGGAAAGGAAAGCTGCAGAAGTATGGCATTATTACACAGCTACAAACACCTCAAAGATATTTGACTCCCTCAGAGCTTGCACAGCCCCCCTGAAGTTGGCAAATGGTGCAACCTTCATCAAAGACAAGAAGGGAATCATAGAGATGGGCTGAACACTTCAACAGTTTATTCGCAGACCATCTGCAATATACCAAGCTGACGGTAGCCAACTGAAAAGAGGTAGATATTGATTTCCTCTGCATAGCAGTGATAATGTTGGTCTGCATGACACTCAAATATTTGATCTAAAGAAAGTCAATAGAATTGTCAAGTGTTCTGAGTGGAAACCATATGAATGTTCATATTGGCTCTGAAAGACACCACAGACTTCAACACAGTTTAGATCAAATCTAGTGAGAACAAAAATTGCATAAATGAGCCTTGGTACTGTTAACCCTAAATGATGTACCTGACAACTGCAAGCTGTGCTAGGAACACATAAACTATTTCACCTGCTCAAGAGATCATAGAATCATAGAATACTAGGACTGGAAGGGACCTCGAGAGGTCATCGAGTCCAGTCCCCTGCCCTCATGGCAGGACTAAATACTGTCTAGACCATCCCTGATACACATTTATCTAATCTACTCTTAAATATCTCCACAGATGGAGATTCCACAACCTCCCTGGGCAATTTATTCCAGTGTTTGACTACCCTGACAGTTAGGAACTTTAACCTAATGTCCAACCTAAACCTCCCTTGCTGCAGTTTAAGCCCATTGCTTCTTGTTCTATCCCCAGAGGCCAAGATGAACAAGTTTTCTCCCTCCTCCTTATGACACCCTTTTAGATACCTGAAAACTGCTATCATGTCCCCCCTCAATCTTCCCTCTTCTAAACTAAACAAACCCAGTTCCTTCAGCCTTCCCTCATAGGTCATGTTCTCTAGACCTTTCATCATTCTTGTCGCTCTTCTCTGGACCCTCTCCAATTTCTCCACATATTTCTTGAAATGCGGCACCCAGAACTGAACACAATACTCCAATTGAGGCCTAACCAGCGCAGAGTAGAGCGGAAGAATGACTTCTCGTGTCTTGCTCACAACACACCTGTTAATGCATCCCAGAATCATGTTTGCTTTCTTTGCAACAGCATCACACTGCTGACTCA